CATTATCTAACTTAGCTGGTATACTTATAATATATCTATATATAATTTATAACTGTTGTATTAAAGTGGTCATTATCTAACTTAGCTGGTATACTTATAATATATCTATATATAATTTATAACTGTTGTATTAAAAAATATATAGATATATTATAAGTATACCAGCTAAGTTAGATAATGACCATTTTAATATAACAGTTATAAATTATATATAGATATAAGTGTACCAGCTAAGTTAGATAATGACCACTTTAATACAACAGTTATAAATTATATATTACATAACTCGTGAGCAACTTTTGTCAGACCGAATAATGGGATTTGACAGTCATTCTTATAATGCACCAAAAGTTCAGAAGTGCAAGGTACGAGTTACATTTTTTTATTTTGTAGTGATACCGGGACGCGAACTTCAGCCCCACAGTCCGGCATTATAACCACTGTGTGGTGATAATTCAATACAGAGTATCAATCTTACTTATATTCACTGATATTAAAAATATCTGGTTAAAAATAAACGAATTATATAAATAAACAGCGAAATTATTTAGAAAAAAAATGTATATATAATGATTAACACATACCTATGTAACAAAGTGAGAAGAATAGCAGAGTTTCACAAACCAAGAAACTGTTTTAAACTAAACTTCGTGGAACAATCAGTTGGCTGGCTATGTTCTCTGTTCTATGTTCTCTCTTAAGGATATTTTCGACTGTAATCCAAGTAATGTTTTACGTTGTTCACCGATCTTATGACACTAACTGTAATTGCACGTTAGGCGAAAAATGAGTAATGAAAAAAAAAGGTAATATTAAAAAAAAAAACATTATAATCAATAAGATTTCATGTAACTAACTGTAAAATAAGTGTGGATGTAAGCTATCACTAATAATTAGCTAGATATAATAAATTAAACAAATTATCAGCCTCTTCGAAAAATTTTACCTATCGTATGTCCGATCCTTTAGATTAACTCTGTACATGACTCAATATGGTTATTTAGTTATCAGAAACTTATCCGTTTCAATCGAGCCTAACATCATAGTTTCATTGGTCATATTGGTCAGCATTTGGTAATACGTATAGAATGACTATCATATTTTTTTCCAGTTCATATTAAGAATTTCTTATCAATCTATGCTTTATATGGTACAAGTGTATTTACATTCATTCAGTCTCGCATTATAAAGTATTCTGCAATTTAGTTTAATGAAATTTAATTTTTTCTTAATTATTTATCAATCTGAAAGTGTTTACATGATATTATTATACAATATTTAAAAAGATGAATTACATTTAAAAGTAATATATTCATGCACGTTTATTTCATTGGGATTATTTAAATACTGTTTCCAATTTCATACCACTAAGATTATCACTATCTCCAGTGAGTATTGTTTTAAATATTATATTGATATCACAAATCTTATTTGAAATATGTGAAGTTTCTGTACTGTGAGTATTGATAAATTACTAAAGTAAGATTTCCTACCACTAGGTGTCGTGGATTCACATAAACAGGCACATGCTATTATCTCTACATGATGCTGTGATTACAAGAAACCCACGCTTCCGAATAACCCATAACGGCCATAGCACCTGGGTTCTTCACATAGATAACGTCCAGAAGGATGACCAGGGCCAGTATATGTGTCAGATTAATACAAATCCCATGATTAGTCAAAGTGGACACAATAGTTACATAGG